CAAAGGTATAATTACTATTTCAGCCACTCATGTGGGTAATTTTGGATTTTGGAGTTTTGGAAAGATACTCAACCAGTATCAGTTTAGCTACAATTAGTTGACAGCCTGGATAGTTTCAAAAGGGATGGGAATTGTTCATGAAGGATATCAATACTTACCAGTTGTGACAGCTATATCATACAGCATGCCTCTGCATAGAAGTGTGAGTAAAAAGGAACTGTTCTACTTTTGTTGTGTTTTTGGGATTCCCATGAGTATCTGGATACTTCTGGAATATTGTTGCACTAGACACCCTTAGTGTGGTGCTCCAGGGTTCTTGTTGCTTTCCCAGTTGATTAGGACATCTCCCAAATCTGCTTTATGGTTTTCTTCCCATCTCAGTTATACCATATTATGACATTGTGCTCCAAGTTAAAGAGTGCTTGAATAAACGAAATTATGTGTTACATCAAATGGCTTCTCAGCAGGATTTGTAATGCACATTTTTGACCTTGACACATTGGAAATTATGTTGCAGAGGGGGAAACAAAAATGTGTGTATCTCTGAGGCATACTTTTCCCATAAAGGTCCAAATGATCATAAATATAGGTGAATCACACAAATCAGTATTAAAATACTAGATCTCAGGACTGTGTATCTAATAACAGTATATCAGCAACCCTTGATGTTTCTAGAAAAAAAAATTAAACACCTAAGGGCTAATTCATAAGATTTATTTTAGGCTGAATGCTGTCACCCTTCACCCCTCCCTGTTTCTTTGCAGTCTTTGTGTGGAAAGTTATAGCTGTTCACACATCCGGTTACAATGTGCTAATTAAAAGGAGGTGTTTGAAACAAGTCAAATAGCAGAGCTCTGGAAGTTAATAACATCTGTTTCTACTGTGTTGGCAAAGACGTTTCATAAGAATAATGTAACAAAGTGTAATCTGCTTTCCCCCTTAGTCCAAGGGCCTTTTTCCAGTTTCAAGACACTCTTGTAAGAAATGGGGGGACCTTCCCCCCCCCCTAATGTCTTTACAACTAACATAACAAGGGTGACATGTGATTAGTTCTGTTGATCTTGGAATGATATGTATGGAAATATGCTTACAGATGAAGAAGCAATACTTCTTGTGTTGGTAGCTTCTGTTTTAGGGATGTACAAGAAAAAGTTTGTGGCTGTTCTTTGGATGTAGAAAAACACATAAGTACTGACTTGAGTGTGTGAGAGATGAAGGAATCGGCCCTTTCCTGTATGAAAACACATTTAAATAGTTGCACATTTAAGATGTTTCTGTATCACCTCCCAGTGCGCGAACTCTCCCAAGAAGATGAAGAAATAAAATAAATCAAATAATATAAATATATAACATTTTAAAAGTTTGAGAAATTAGGAATTTTCTGTTCTTAAATCAAGTGAGATTTTTTGAGTTATAGCAGTACTAGCTGTTTCTTCTGTGGTCCTTAGAAAAATAAGACAGCTAACTCAGTATAATGGTTTGAGCAATAGACTATAATCCTGGAGATCAGAGTTTGAACCATCATTTGGCCATAAAAATGCACTGGACAAATCACATTCTCTCAACCTCAGAAGATTTGTCTCAGGGTTGTCTTAAGTTGGAAGCAACTTGAAGACAACCTTTGAGAATAGTGATTTTATTTTGAATCTCTTTCTGGCAGTATCCCTGTGAAGGAGAATTTGGCTTGTCTTGAAGGCAGCTCATCAGGTCTCAGGAAAGGCTGTAAAAGAGGGCAGCAGTGGAACAAAACATATCAAAAGGCAGAAGGGAATTCAGACAGGGTTTTGAACTGACAATGTCAGGGTTTGACTTTACAACAGAGAAGGTTTTGAGCTGTCAGAGATAGGATATTGAATTTGAGAAAGAAGGGAGAATTGCGTAGGGTTTTGGGGGAACTAAAAAATAAAATTCATATATTGATATATTGCACCATATATAATGGGCCCCCTGGTGGCGCAGCAGGTTAAACTGCTGAGCTGCTGAGCTTGCTGACCAAAAGGTTGGCAGTTCAAATCCAGGGAGTGGGGTGAGCTCCCGTAGTTAGGCCCTGTTTCTGCCAACCTAGCAGTTCAAAAACATGCAAATGTGAGTAGATCAATAGGTAATGGCACTCCATGCAGTCTTACCAGCCATGTGACCTTGGACATGTCTGTGGGCAACGCTGGCTCTTTGACTTAGAACTTGAGATGAGCACCCCCCAGAATCAGATATGACTAGACTTAATGTCAGGAGAAACCTTTACCTTTACCATATGTAGTAACCCTTTTCTTGTTGTTTTAAACTGTCCCTGGCTCTCTGTCAAGGTTGAATTGATGTCAGGCCAATGATATCACAACTAAAAAACCCACACAACACAGTCACAAGTCCACATTTAGGGGTCATTGGAGACGTAGCAAACCTTTCCCAGAAGGGAATAATTGGAGTAACCAGGGCAAGTGGATGGCTGAATTCCTAGGAGCATTGGTATCGGCCTGGAGAATGGGATCTGTATTGCTCCCTCATAGAAGCATTGTTTTGGAGGATACATGGAATTAGCTTGTGGGGAATTTCTGCAATGCATTGCATGAATGCATGAAGACTAATTGGTTCATAAGTATTTCACAAAGGTTCATAAGTGTATTGTTGTAACGAAGATAAGCGACAACCTAGGCAGGGGGGAAGACAATCCCAACCCTACCAGCAGTGTAAAGATGTTTAACGTTCAGCTGGTCACTACTTTGACAAAGATAAATGACTACGACGAGGGGGAAAGACTCTCTTATCCCACCTCAGTAATGTTGTTAAGTGACCAACTGATTTAACGTTGTTAATGACCGATGTATTAGGTAGATTCGCCACCACCACCTCAATTAATGTCTGAGGAAAACATAAGTGTGAATGTGAAATAGGTAAAATTAGGTTCAAGCCCTTTGTTCTTCTTTATGGCTGTTTCTCTCACTGACTGGACTGAAATTGTCTTTAGGCTAGCTGAGATCTAATGGTTGTAATAGACCCAGGCAGACACCAGTTTAAAGACGAAAAATAGAAACAGGTTTATTTAGACTTGATGAACAAAGCAACTCTTAATAAGAGTGGTACAAAAGCGTAATGTGGTTACTTGAGGCTTAGCTGTTTAGACAGGCAGTCTTCTCTTAAGACTTTAACTTTTGTTTCTTGTGAGTTCCTTGCTTCACACTGTTCACTACACTGACACAGTGTGTCCTTGAGAACAGCCCACAGACTGCCTCACAGAGCAAACAGGCTTTCCTACACTGACCTTTCTTTGTACAGTGATCCAGGAACCTATGCCTTTCCTATGCTCTAACCCTCAAGGCTCACTTCAAAAGTTCTTCCTCCCTGTCTAAATTCCTCTCAGCTCCCTCTCCCTAAAATACTTCTTCACTCTACGATATTTAAAGCTCTCCTCCCTAGCTTGTCAAAAGACACAGCCTTTTCCCTCTAAAACCTAACTCCTCCTCTGACTGCTCTAGCCAATCAGGAGTCGGCTGACTCCTCCCTCTTGCCTCTTGACTCTCCTGCCTATCTCTGAACATGTCAGCTACTGTCTTCCCAGGCTTCGGCCTTCCTGGCAAAAGGTTAGATTCATGACAATTGTGTAATGGATTAGCCTACTTTACAAGGTTGGTCTAAAGGCAGTAATAGTTTTGGCTTGGAAAAACTAAGGAGAGCAGAGGGGAGGAGAGATCAGGCAGCTTCATAGCTGGAAGAAGAGTCTGATTGATTGGCTGATGAAATTGGAGGGAGTTGCTTAGCAACTGGAGATGGGCAGAGCCAATCCAGCCAGAAAGGATCCAATCCAGCCAGAGTTCAGTTCTATTTGGAGCTTGGAGTTTGAGGGGTTAGATTAGGAGATTTGAAGGGCAAGGAAGGAAGAGTTTTGGGAACTGTTTGTTAGAAATATATCTCTTTGAGGAAAATAGTTAAAGCCTTCAGCGTGAAGGAGTAAGAAATATAGTTGGCCTCTCTAGTGATAGAGTGCTGGTGTGGAAAGAGGATTCAAAAGGATCAAAATATCCTGTTTGTATTCCTATGTGTGGAACATTGCTTTTAAGAAACTCGAGTTATAAGACCATTCTCTGTAAAAGTAGAGCCTGACAGTTTATTGAAATCACTGCACATCTTTAGTGTTCAAGACCAAAATAAACATCATATTCCTGTTTTATTTCACCTGAAGAGTTCATGTGCTTTCTTGAGCATTCTAGCAAGGAGGTGGCCTATGAATCAATAAATGGTGGCAGCAAAGAAATATATAATATATAATGGTAGCATCACACTGTCCTGTCATGTGTATGTGTGTGTGTGCCCTTGTCCCTCTCGGCCTTGCTGGCCTGTCGTCTTTACTATATATTTCATGTGTGAAAAGACTTCACCTGACAGAAGCTTGACTGACAAAGATTTGAAATATGTGAGCTCTTTTCTCCACAGTGAAACCGATTGGCATGAAGAGGTTAATAAAATGCCACTTGCTATTGGGATTAATTTAAATACAACTTAATGTACGAATTCTCAGACAAGACTAACATTATTATGGGGGCTGTCTTTAAACCAGCATTAAATTGGTCATAAGCTAAACTTTTTGTCTTTAATTGCTCTTGGATAACTAGCTATCATGAAACATCTATATTTTTAAAGTTCTGACAGCAGAGGGCTCTGAGAAAACTAATTCTGAACTGACTTTTTTCTTAAGCACACTTGATGAATTTTTATGAGGTCAAAATATAAGCTACACTTGTCATAACACTAATTGGGTCACTGAAAAAATGTAGCAGTTTGCACTTTTAAACAGCAACATAGAAAGCAAGGATGCAGAATTATTGAGTCACTACAGTGGTTTTATTGTTTCTAAATTAAGTACAATAATTCTAAATTAATTATGCTAGAGGATGTCATGGATTGTAAGCCCTTCTGCCTTGGTGTTTAGTGGGATTCAGACATGGAGCAAATTCAGACAATATTCTTTTTCACTAAGCCTGTAATTGAGACTTTGTTATGTTCTCCAGGAACAGTTCTTGTCAGAAGTAATACTGGTCAACTGATGTTGGTGTCGCAGCAAGCACTAGTGCAAGCCCAAAGCCAGACCCAAAATAATGCAAGTGTAAGGTGGACAGCGCCCACACTTGCATCTACAGTCAAACTACAGAATCCACAGGTAATCCTATAATCAAATTTCTATTAAATGTCTCACTAATTTTGCTGCTATTGTAGATGTTTCTACCAAGGTTGAATTGCATCATAAAACTTCCATGTATGTAGCCTTGTGAGTGAGGCAAATCTAGTCTAGGTGCCAGGTTTCTTTTGCATTTCTGTCAAGATATTAGGGAGGTGGTGGCAGCTGTAAAGAGGAGCTCAAATCTGTTTTAAGGTAAGCCTGGTTCCTTATTACACAGGTATGTTCTGTTCTTTCCTTTAAGCTTGTCCATACCAGCTATCAGTGCTCATACATTAATGCAGGTACCGTATATACTTGAGTATAAGCTGACACAAATAGAAGCTGAGGCACCTAATTTTACCACAAAAAACTGGGAAAACATTGACTTGAGTATAAGCTGAGGGTGGGAAATTCAGCAGCTACTGGTAAATTTCAAAATAACACCTATTGATGTTTTGTCTGCCTCTATGGCAGGCATCCCCAGAGGTTGAATGCCATATATGCAGGCAAAACATCAGGAGAGAATGCTTCTAGAATATGGCCATACAGCCTGAAAAACCTACAACAACCCACTTATTCCGGCCACGAAAGCCTTCAACAATACATTATTCATGTAGTGTTAAAAGTTATTAAATTAATAGTACCCTCGAGTTAAAACAGTTAAGACAATGTATAGGAATAAACATGATAAAATTGTTATAATCCAAACGTTATGATTAAAATGTGGCATTGTCTGGTGCTACAACAATGCCCCCCCACACAGTGTATTAACCTCATGGAGAGTAGGGGCATAATGAAGGTTCACTCAAGTAGACTTTAAACTTTGGGAAGGTGTGTGTGTGTGTATACAGGCACACTTTTAGATACAAAGATCTCAATTAGGGGGTAAAATATTACCAACATCATCCTGATTTGGCATGAGAAGTGTACAGCCATCCCTTCAGATTTCAGGTTGACTTTTATGGATTTGATTATTTGCAAATGTGATTAAAATGTTCTCTTTGGGAACCTCTGGGTCCTCCAACATGACTCTGGTCGGTTTTTATCAGAAGGGTCACACCAGAGGACCTAGAGAGAACACAGTGATTCTGTGGTTTATTTCTTTTCTACATTATTCATAGTTTTTCACTTTTGCAAGCATCCTATATCCCTAACTCCAGTGAATGTGGAGAGCTGAGGGTTTTGTCAGCCAGAGGAATTCTTTTAAAACTAGTTTCATATGTTTTTTAAGACGTTCTAACTCGGCAATATGACTACTGGAGTTTCCACTAGCAGCAGATACCTGTTGTGTCAACTGTGGTTGAGTTGTTACTCTCCAGGAAAAGTCATTGCTGGTGGTGCAGCTGATGTTAGTTGAGGTACCTGAAGTCTCCCTGGCCTCTAGCAATAGGGCTGGTTCTAAGAGCATTCCCTGGCTGTGCACCTATTTCCTTGAATGAAACCCCTTCCAGGGTAGTTTGCTTATCTAATTTGCAGTCCTGAGAATTACTGAGCTGTAGAGCCTCTGTCTTACTGGAATTTAGCTCCAATTTCTTGAATTTTATCCAGCCTGTTATAGAATCCTGGTACTGGTTCAGTACCTGCAGAGCCTCAGCTTAAACTCTCTCTATATATAAAAAAGATGTTGAGCTGATTGTCCTAACTTCAAATGCATAGATGGTAAGGGGTGGGAACAGTTTTGTGTCCAAATGCTACATAATCAGTTATTTAATTCTCGATTTTTAATTCATATTCTATCTATTCTCATTCTTTCTTAAAAGAACTCCGTAAACCAAGTACTTAAAGTGCTACCAGCTCCTGTTAAAACAGTGCCTCGGCCAACTCATCCCATTAAGAAATCTGCCGTAATCCAGGTATGCCTGGTATTGTATTTGCTGGTATTGAACTTTTTAGGTGTTTTTATTATTGTAGTGGTTCACAAATCATAGTTTCCTATACTGAATCACTTTCTTGCTAATAGTCGATATAACCAGTGATGAGGAATTCTGGGAGCTGCAGTCCAAAAATGCTCATCATAAAGATTGCGATTAAACTTTTTTTTATTAAAGAAAACAAACACTTTTATAGAGATACATTATGTAATTCTTGAATGAACACTGTGGAAAGATCTGTTTTATTTTTTTCCTGGTCGAAATCAAGTTAATGAAGCTAAATACTGCTTTCTTTCAGTCAGTATCATCAGCAAAAAGCAATTCTACAAATATGACGATAAAGGGACCATTGGCAAACCTTCCTGCTTTTGATTTTCATATACAGCCTGTTGCTCCAAAGCCAATTCCTGATGCAGACGGCACAACAGTAGCACAGGCCAGCACTTCTGTGGTAAGTGCAATATACCCTATGATTGGAACCTTCTGTTCTGTTTTAGAACTACTGGACAGGATTTAATTTGCACTCTTACTTTTGATTCTTGTCAGGAAATGCTGGAAAATGTGCAAAAGTGCAAAAACTTTCTTGCAACACTTATAAAACTGGCATCCAGTGGAGCTCAAGCACCCGAAATGGGGCAGAATGTGAAGAACCTGGTAGAAAATCTGCTGGTAAAAGTTAATCTGCAAGTATTTTGCCCTGATCCTAAATGTCTTTACTTGGAAGTGATTTTATTGGGGGTTTCACTTGTTTATAGGTTTGCACTAGATTACATGTGTACAACATTGTAGTTGTTGAAGGTCACTGTCTCATCTTTACACATCCTGATCAGTAAAGCATCATGAAGTTGCAGTGAATGTAACCTAAAAATACTAAACATCACCAACTAGTAGAACATAACTTGTTTGTTATAGTATAAAGGTGGAATTTCACATTGAACTCGATCTTACACCACCATGTTATTGTATTAAAAGTGATCATTATTGCTGTTTGAAGAACAGAAAAAAGATACAGCTTGCAAGATTTCTCGCAAAAGACATGAAATTGAGAGATATCTGTTTGTAGAGAAGTTAGGGAATTTTGAACATTTCCTTTCAAACCAGCTTCTCCTACAATAATATCTTTCTTTCTTTCTTTCTTTCTTTCTTTCTTTCTTTATTTATTTATTTATTTATTTATTTATTTATTTATTTACAGTATTTATATTCTGTCCTTCTCACCCCTCAGAGGACTCAGGGCAGATTAAGGTAAAGGGTAAAGATTTACCTTTAGGATAAAGGGTAAAGATTGACATTAAGTCCAGTCGTGTCCAACTCAGGGGTGTGGTGCTCATCTCCTTTTCTAAGCCGAAGAGCCGGCGTTGTCCATAGACACCTCATAGGTCATTTACAGCTGGCATGACTGCATGGGGCACCGTTACCTTCCCACTGAAGCGCTACCTATTGATCTACTCACATTTGCATGTTTTCGAACTGCTAGGTTGGCAGAAGCTGGGGCTGACAGCGGAAGCTCAACAAGCTCAGCAGCTCAGTGCTTTAACCCACTGTGCCACCGGGGGCAGCTTACAATGCACATATATATGGCAAACATTCAATGCCATTAGACATACAACATATATAGACAGACACAGAGGTAATTTAACATTCCAGTTTTCCGGCTTCATGGGGGTATGCTTGATTCCGGCCACAGGGAAGCTGCTGCTTCATCATCCACTTGTGACACTCAGTCCTTGATGGAGTACTTCCTCATTCTTACAGCACACTGCTGGAAGGTTTTATGGTGTCGTAAATTAGTTAAATTAGCCTCCCTGCATAAAGCTGTTCCTACTTGACAGATGCAACTGTCTTTTGGGCTACATAGGTCAACAGCAAGCTAGACTATTAACGGTTGGGAGCTCACTCCAACCCGGGCCGGCTTCAAACTCATGATCTCTCAGTTAGTAGTGATTTAATGCAGCTGGCTACTAACTAGCTGCACCACAACCTGGTCATAGAACACTTCCTTTCAAACCAGCTTCTCGCATTCCCACATATTCTCACTTTATAATAACTTTATTCTTCCATACTGCCACCTTCTCCCCGAAGGGACTTGGGGTGGCTTACACAAGGCACAAGGTGCCTAAAACAAGACATGACATAAAACACAATGTAAAATACAATTGTAACAACAACATAAATCTCAGAATAAAACAGCACACATCTGTCAGTAGAAATAGCTAATGTAAATATGGCCAGCAATAAACAATTAGGGCAAGGGAATGGGAGAAGTACAGAATTGTAACCATGGGATGAGGACACAGGATAACATGTGAGGCTGCATAACAAATATATAGATCAACTAGGTGTTCTCAAAAGCTTGTTTGAATAGCCAGGTCTTCAGGTTGCTACAGAAGGAGGGCAGTGTGGGGGCTTGGCTAATCTCCCTGGGGAGGTTGTTCTAGAGCTGGGGGGCCACCACAGTAAAGGTCCTCTCCCTCCTTTCCATCAACCACACTTGAGACAGTGGCGGGACTCCTCCCTGGGTGGCGCAGTGAGTTAAAGCACTGAGCTGCTGAGCTTGTTGACTGAAAGGTCACAGGTTCGAATCTTGGGAGCGGCATGAGCTTCTGCTGTCAGCCCTAGCTTCTGCCAACCTAGCAGTTCGAAAACTGAGTCGATCAATAGGTACCGCTCTGGCAGGAAGGTAACGGCGCTCTATGCAGTCATGCTTGCCACATGACCTTGTAGGTGTCTACGGACAATGCCGGCTCTTCGGCTTAGAAATGGAGATGAGCACCACACTCCAGAGTTAGACACGACTGGACTTCATGTCAGAGGAAAACCTTTAACTTTATTCTCTCTCTCTCTCTCTATATATATATATATATGCGCAAGCTGTGGGTGGTTATGTAGTGTAGGTGTGAAATATTAGCCCTACAATATCCTCCTAAGGTTGATGGATCCAAAGCTAGGATGAGCATAGTGCTGTTGCTTTGGCAGCTAGGAAAATTGGCCATAGATTATTTTTAGCTGCAACCATATTAACTTCTCTTTAAAAGCTTGTCCCATAAAAAAGGTTGGAACTATGATATTAGTACCACAGTGTCAGTGAGTTGATGGATTCTGTTGTAGGAAGATCTGAAGGAGTTGCAGGTTGCATTATGCTACAATTTCTTTTTCTACTCAGGAAGCTAAAATTGAACCAGAAGAGTTTACGAAAAAGCTGTACATTGAGCTGAAATCTTCCCCACAGCCATGTCTTGTTCCCTTCCTTAAGGTAGGTAACTCAATTATTATCTAATATGTAACCTAGTTATTATCTAAGTGGGCATGAATTTTAACCAGAGAGTGAAAGATTAGTTTGGAATATCAAGTTGATTAAATAGGAAAACCACACAGGCATTTGTGTGTGTGTAAGGGAAAGTTAATAACCTACTAGTAACATTCTGTCTTTTTTGCCCATTGGGTATTTTGATACAGCTTATCATGCAATCATCCAGTGGGTTGCAAGCTAGTATAAGTTTGTGCCTAAGATTTGTGGGGATTTAATACCACCTAAATTTCTGTTCATTCAGTGGCCTAGAGGTCCTTACTGTTCCCTGCTGTGCAGCAATGACACCACTTGAGCACAATCCACCTCTGTTTATGTGTTTCTGTAGAGCTTTTGGCTACATAAAATCTTACTTAGTGCAGACCAGCTTCACTTTTATCTGTGCGTTGAGTGGAGGGGATACTCTATGGATCTGGATATGCAGTATTTTCATTAGCTGAATACGAGATGATTGATTTGACTTATATCCCATCTTTCTCTGAGAACTGGACTAAGTGGGATTTTAACAAACTTTCTACATACAACAGGCAACAGTATAAATCTTGGTATCATGAAACATGTTTTCCCCCCTGTTAGATATATTAGAGTGAAAAATCTACTTATAATTGTGGCATTCTAGTATGTATTCTAATAATAAGCTAATAATAATTCTAATAATAATATTCTAATAATAATAATAATAAGCTAATAATAATAATAAGATCTCCCAACTTATTACTAATCATACTTGATCCTTAAAGAAGTACATTCAATTTCAAATCTGTTATTGATGTTTGGAAGATTGTGAAGTTGGGGTCCCAAAAAGCAATATTTTCTGTTCTGTTCTATCAGTTTTTTTCCCAAGTTTAGAGCTTCAATAAACATGGTGGCTGAGTAGTTCTTAACTGAAACACTTTAACTAGATTTTTTAAATTTTGTAATACCTATATATATATATATATATATATATGCGTAAATAAATAATGAGAAATCTTGCAGATGGGACTCATGTTTAAACACAATAGTACTAGTGCTGTTCAAGTTAAATTGGAAGCAAACAACACAATTACAATGGAATTAGCAGTACTGAATGTAAGATTGCATTTGTGCAATGCAGTTTGAAGGGTTATTTTGTTAAGGGAAATCCATAGATGCCTGTCTTCTTTCCTCCCACCTTAATTTACACAATGCAGGCATGAAGGCCTGTGACATTGCTGGCTATTGCTCTTATATGCAACATTCAAAGGTTCATATTTGCATCAGTGAATTAACCCAGTGTGCATTAACCTTCTGCCAAAATTCAGATGTGTAAATTAATACAAGGAAAAAACTTAAAGCAACACTGCAAGTAGTGTTGTTTCATGAAAGGACTATAGTTCTGCATAGCCTGGATTGTGAAAAGAATATGCCAAATCTAATTTTCTCTTTTCTTTTCTTCCTTGCCTAGAAAAGTGTGTGTGCCTTAAGGCAGCTTGTTCCAGACCCACAGACCTTTATACAGCAGTGTCTCCAACAATCTGTGCCAAGAACAGCTGCTTCAACTTGTGCAACTGCAGTATCATCTGTTTCTGCAGTGGCTGACAGCACTCCTGTGACGTTCCAATCTGCAAGGACACTCCTTAGAACTCCAGTGGGAATCTCCTCTCCCCAGACCTCAGTCCCAGCCCCCTGTACATCTCTGGTGACAAGAGGATCTGCTTCACTTCAGCTTGTCCAACCAGAACGTGCCTTACCCTTGGGGGCACTTTCTCTTCAAGGCGCCAATTCTGTTCCCCCCACTCAACTGGCAACAAGTATAACCACTGTGAAGACTGTACAGCCAACCTCCTCCGTGGAAGTGGTGACAAGAAGAAACACTCCCCTTCCATTTATAAAGCCCATGTCTACTCCTGTAGCAGTATCTTCCGCTGCTTCTCTTAGTTCTGGAAAGACAGTATCACCATCTGCTGCGGCAACATCTCTTCAAGTGCAAAAGCCAGCTTTGACAACTAGTGTTGCAACAACCCTCAGTAATGCAGTTGCTACAACGCTCCAGTCTGGGACAACAGTCACTGGGAAACCAATCGCAATTAGAGTTGCCTATCCCAATTCTGTCATTTCCCAACCTGTCCGGACTCCACAGCCTGTAACGGTGAAGCAGTTGGTAAGAGAACTTCGCTTGATACATGGGTCAAGGAAAACCTGGTTATTCCAATGTGCCTTCAATGATTGAATGTAAGACACTCCCTGACCAAACTCTGCATAAAATGACCTCAGAAGCACTTTATTTTATGGTTCGTGTAATTGAATCCTTCCTCATTCTCAGATCCCCCTTCCCGACAATTTTGCACTACCCTATCTCCCAGTGTTTTAAAATTTTAAATTTTATCCTTGAATTTGGCCCCGGCCAGTGTAATTTCCTGGTGTTTTAATTGTTTGATTGTATATTGCTGTGTTGTCTATTATATTGGTTTTGCATTTTATGTATTTTATTTTCTGGTTTTGTTATATTTTTGTGTAATATTGTGTTTGTTGTACTGATGGGCGTGGCCTCCCCGAGTAAGCCGCCCCGAGTCCCCCTAGGGGAGGTGGAACAGGGTATATATAAAGTTTATTATTATTATTATTATTATTATTATTATTATTATTATTATTATTATTATTATGGAAGCTGGATAATTCCCAACTGTGCAAGGGAACTGCATGTTTCCTTATGGAACTGTTCATAAGTCACCCATGTTTCAAGAAGTCACCCAAGAATGCTGCTATCTCCAGAGACCTGCTTCATAGGCACATGGGGAGGGGGTGTTCTTTAGTGTCACACTTCAAATATAGAATTCACACCTTCTAAAACTGCAAGAAGTCTCCAAGCTTGCTACTTTATAAAGTGTGTTAAAATATACCTCTTTAATTTGACCTTCTAAACCTCTGTTGTGGTCATTTTCTTTTTTCTGTTTCTCATTTTATTTGTTTGCTAGCTACAGTGTTATATTTCTTTTGTTTCATACCACCTTGACTTTTTTAGAATGCTAATTTATCAATCAATGTAAATAAATAAATGAAATCTCTTTGTAATGTAAGCAAATAAATAAAATACATGACAGGAGATTAAAAGGCTAGCATTTTAACCTTCAAAGTCTGGATCAATATGCAAAGAATCATGTGGCATCTTTGAGATTAACCTTGTAAAATTTGAAGGAGCCACAACTCAGTGGTTTTCTTTGTTTTACAATAGGTAGCTTTTATTTTACTTTTATTTTACTTTATGATCTAACACACTGATTTAGGATAAGCAGCCAATATACATTAAAAAGAAGTGCAAAAATTCAGACTAATTCATAAACTTACTAGATTCAAATGACCTTTGGAGCAAAGACTTACATCACCATAAACACTAAACTGGGGGAGGTAATCTTTGTTTGACACCACCAGGGAAACTAGTGCCCTGTTACTTCTCATCACATTTTGCCTATCTGGTAGAGAGAATGTTGAGCAAGAAATTCCCTAAATCAGTGGTTCCCAAACTTTGGTCCTCTGGTTATTTGTGACTTCAACTCCCAGAAGCTTTAATCAGCTTGGCCAAGAGTCAGGATTTCTGAGAACTGAAGTCCACAACATCTGAAGGAACAAAGTTTTGAAACAACTGACATAGATGTTTAAAGTTTGCAAGTAGTTGTCCATTCCATACATACAAAAGTACAGTAATGCCCGTTAGTATTGCCAGAGAGGAGTGTGTTCATATCTAAACCTGTGGAATTTGCTAATGTTATGCCCAGACATAACTGAAAGACTTGGTAAAGTTAGGTATAATCTCGCAAAGGTCTATTTTATAATCTAAATCAGGGGTCCTTAAACTGAGGCCCGTGGGCCAGATACGGCCCTCCAAGGTCATTTACCTGGCCCTCGCTCAGGGTCAACCTAAGTCTGAAATGACTTGAAAGCACACAACAACAACAACAACAACAATCTCATCAGCCAAAAGCAGGCCCACACTTCCCATTTAAATACTAATAAGTTTATATTTCTTTAAAATGTTCTTCATTTTAATTATTGTATTGTTTTTCAGTATTTTTTTGCATTACAAATAATATATGTGCAGTGTGCATAGGAATTCAATCATGTTTTTTTCAAATCATAATCCGGCCCTCCAACAGTTTGAGGGACTGTGACCTGGCCCTCTGTTTTAAAAGTTTGAGGACCCCTGATCTAAATGATTGGCAATCACAGGGTCCTTCAAATGTTGGAGTGCAACTTTCAGCTGTCCTGAAAGAAGCACTCCAACATAGCAAATAATGAAAGATAATTGTGAAATATATTTTATAAAATCTGGAGGAGTTCATGATTTTCATCTCTTTTCAGACACTGTGTTCCTTTGTATCTTCATACTTGTCTTTTGTTGAATTTGGTCTTTTCCCCCCAGATAGTCCAGCAGGCATCAGGAAATGCCTTGAAAAAAGTGAACACACTTCAGCAGGCTTCTTCACTCCCTACTGTGAACAAACCAAGTGGGAAGATGCCTTTAAATACTGTTATCCATACTAACCAACTTCCTGCAGGTACAGTTGTATTCTTGGTCTGAATGAAGCCGTCATGTTAAACCATGGCTTGTATTAAGAATCATGGCTTGATAGGAAGTGATTGTTAACTTTAATTTCTCATCTGATCAGTACTAGTAATATCCTTCTAAGAGAAGCAGTGACTGTAACCATGGTTAGTTAATTCATACATGCAACTAGTACAAACCATATCTATTGGTATGATTTGAATCTGTTATTTTTTGTTTCTGATTGATTCATTGCACCCATGGTTTCTCAATTCACACACTGCATTCATTAACACTTTTAAAGCATGGTTTGGCATGATGTCATTGTTCAGATGAAGTAAACTGGTATGCTGGGTGTTCAGACATAAAGCAATAAGGTGGGATATATGGAGAATCCTATTTATACGGGGACTTCTCTAGTTAAGGAGTTAACCTTATTGTAACCATTTTGGTCACGGCAGTGTCCAATAGCACTGTAGAATGGTGCAGAGTTAGAATTGATTGCAGAAGAAGACTCATGTTTCTCTTCTTTTAAGTGAGAAAATATATTTTCATGAATTTGAGGTGTGGTGGGGAGAAGTGCTGTTCTCCCCATCTCTTAAAGCAATCAAAAGCATGTTGGTGGTAGAGCTCAACAGCTGTTAGTGCTTAAGAACAGATAAATGAACTGTAAAGTCCACAAAATTGAATAAAAACTGTGTGTGTGTGTGTGTGTGTGTGCGTGTGTGAAGAATAGGGGGCATGCTACATTTGGTAGTGTCTCTTACATTGCTGAATTGCTGCCATGATAACGGGGTAAGCCACATTGTGGTCCTTGTTCCCAGGCAGTATACCTGGTGGGAGATAATTGCATCTTTCCAGTTGTAGTTTATTGAATATTGATAGAATGCAATATCACATTTTTATTTATCGTGTCAGAAGCAAATTGATAATATAGTTAAAATGTATAAAAAACCATAAACAAAGTTAAAAGCTTGGCATTATACTAAATGTCCTTTGACCAGAAGCTGGCCACTTGGAGTGCCTCTGGTGTTGCTTTGAGAAGGTCCCCCATTGTGCATGTGGCAGGGCTCAGGCTGCATTGCAGTAGATGGTCCATGGTTTGCTCTTGTCCACACTTGCATGTCATGGACTCCACTTTGTAGCATCATTTCTTAAAATTGGCTCTGCATCAATAGAGTAGCAAAGCTCAAAGGCAGTTGTCTTCACTGTGTCTGGTTGTGATCCCCAGATTGTGCTATTAATAGCTATTAATATTCTATTAATAGATGAGTAGTCTTTTATAGGAAAGGCACACAAATCTTGTGCAGTAAAAACATTGCTATTTAAGTCCCCTACAAATCCAAATACTATCTAATTTGAGAGTCCATCTCTTCTCTCCCCCCCCCCCCCCCCCCCCCCGCAATGTGTTGGGGACTGGTGCCAAATTTATCTCGATTGACTTGTAGAGAAACACCAGTCCCTATAGCACTTTGAGTATCTCGGCTCTGGAGAATTCCCAGTTACAAGTGAAGCTTTCCACTTTGGAAAGCTGTGCTGTTGGAATGTTCAGGCCATAAAGCCATCTTTCTTCATTGAATGCATTTGGAGTCTAAGAGGTACTAAACATTAGATATTAAGAGTTGTCCATGTCTTAGTAAAATATTTATGGAGACAATGCAAGTGAGAATTGGATGTGTGACCTTGACACAAATATGCTGCTTTCATTTTAAAACTGGACACAGTCTTTTCAGATCTCTCTTCCGCTTGTGCATTGAATGTCATCTTGGATTTTGCTTTCTGCTTTGGATTGTTCATCCTTGTTTTTTTTAGGTTGCATTGTGAGACAAATTACCCTGCCAGGAAACAAAATTCTGTCGCTTCAAGCATCTCCTGTTCAGAGAAATAAAATAAGAGCGAATGGAACAACATCCTTCAGGTAAAAAAATAAACAGTCGGAAGTTTGTTTGGCTATAGGGAAGCCTCAGTTTAAAAAGAGAGCAAACAGCAACAGAGATGCCTCAATAAATATTTAAGATTTCTGATGTGTGTTCTCACTTCCTTGGTTTCAATGTTCTAATGCTAATGAAGGGGAAAAGCCTTAGAATTTTGCCCTGACAGCTGTTTCAGATATTAACATTTTGCAGCTTGATTAGGCTCTATGCTCCTTAAGTCCTAGCTTTTATTTAGCTGCTGATAACCCTCACTGGTTTCATCCATTCATTTATTCATTCATACATGCACATGGACTTTTCTGCTGTCTTGCTCCTAATTGATTGAATGGTTTAATTAACTAACCATATTGATTACATAAATTTAAAATAAATCAAATATGCAGATATTAACATAGAGGCATTTTGAAACAAAGAAGTCTTCAGTATGTAAGGACTCAAATTGATTACTATTCCTAGCTTTTTCCTTTGTACTATCTATAAGAATTGTAAAAAGCAGGAATAACTTACTTACATGAATAAAATTGAATAATTAGTCTGAATAAAATTACTTGAACAAATATCTAAACCATCAGTATTGTGAGAGATGAGTACTACATTTTATTACAAAAAGTGCACAAGTATCTATTTCTTTGATTTATATCCTGCCTTTCTCCCAATGCAGAACCCGAAAATAATAAAAAAGGAAACCTTGATTTTTGCCATTTTTAAATACATGACAGCAGTTTACAATGTTGTTGTTTATTTGGTTAGTCGTTTCCAACTCTTTGCAATCTCATGGACCAGCCCACACCAGAGCTCCCTGTTGGCTGTTGCCACTTCCAGCTCCTTCAAGGTCAAGCCAGTCACTTCAAGGATAACATCCATCTATCTTGCCCTTGGTCGGCCCGCCTTCCTTTTTCCTTCCATTTTCCCCTGCATCATTATCTTCTCTAGGATTTCCTGTCTTCTTATTTTGTGGCCAAAGTACTTCATCTTTGCCTCTAATATCCTTCCCTGCAGTGAGCAGCTGAGTTTATTTCCTGGAGTATGGACTGGTTTGATCTTCTTGCTATCCAAGGCACTCTTAGAATTTTCCTCCAGCACTAAAGTTCAAAACGTCTATCTTCCTTCGCTCAGCCTTTCTTATGATCCAGTTCTTGCATCCATAGATTTCTATGGGGAATACCATTGCTTTAACTATGTGGACCTTTGTGGCCAGTATGATGTCGCTACTCTTCACTACTTTATTGAGATTGGTCATTGCTCTCCTTCCAAGAAGTCTTTTGATTTCCTGGTTGCAGTCTGCATCTGCAGTAATCCTCGCACCTAGAAATACAAAGTCTGTTACTGCCTTCACGTTTTCTCCCTCTGTTTGCCAGTTATCAATCAGTCTGGTTGCCATAATCTTTGTTCTTTATGTTTAACTGCAACCCAGCTTTTGCACTTTTTTCTTTCACCTTGGTTATAAGGCTCCTCATCTCCCTCCTCGCTTTCAGCTTGAGTGACCACAGGTTTTGGTACCCATATGGGGACTCTTAGAACCAAACCCCAGCAGATACCAAATGAGCCCTTCTCCAAACAGCACTCAAGGACCATCTACCCATAGAACACCCCAAAAATGTTGAGGAACATTGGAACAAACCGAAGGTCTCCATCATCACAGCCTGCGAAGAAACTATTGGATACCAAACCAAGAAACATCAAGATTGGTTTGACGAAAATGACAATGAGATACAACAGCTAATTGACAAGAAAAGGAAAGCCTTCCAAACATGGCAGAGAGACATCAACTGTGCTGCTAAGAAAAAGATCTAAGCCAGTGCAGAAGCTGAAGTCCAAAGAAGGGCAAGAGAACTCAAGAACATCTGGTGGACAAAGAAGGCTTAAGAAATCCAATGCCTGGCAGATACCCATGATGCTCAGGAATTTTTCAAAGCCACAAAGGTCATCTATGGACCAAGAAACCATGACATACAGCCTCTACGCTCATCAGATGGAACCAAACTTCTGAAGGACAAAAAATCAATTGCACTATGTTGGAAAGAACACTACCAAAGCCTCCTGAATCGCAGCTCCAGTGTGGCCGAAGAGGTTATCTCACAAATGTCGCAACAACAAACCAGGGATGAGCTTGCAGCACTGCCTAGTTTGGAAGAAGTCATCAATGCCATCAGCCAACAAAAAAATGACAAAGTCAGCGGACCTGATGGGATCCCTGCTAAAATCGTTAAAGAGGTGACACACCAACTTGAGCTGACACACCAACTCCACCAGCTCATTGAAAAAGTGTGGGTGACTGAGAAAATCCCAGCAGATTTCAAGGATGCCACCATCATCAAAAAAGGGATAGTTTCTGCAGTCTGTTCTTTCCCTCTTCAAAAAAAGGGAAAGAACAGACTGCAGAAACTATCGAGGTATCTCCCTTCTAACCTCAGCTGGGAAAATCCTCGCAAGAATCCTTGCAAACACCTTCTCCCCCTCTCAGAAGACACCTTTCCAGAATCCCAGAACGGCTTCTGCCCTCCAGAGGAACAGTGGACATGATCTTCACTGCACGACAGCTCCAAGAAAAATGCAGGGAACAAAATCAACCTCTGTACATGGCATTCATTGACCTTGCAAAGGCATTCAACACAGTAAATCACAGTGCTCTCTGGACCATCCTCCAAAATATCGGGTGCCCTAACAAATTTGTGAATATCCTGCGGCTCCTCCATGATGACATGACGGCAACATTCTTGGACAGCAATGGCTCCCAAAGTGACCCATTTAAGGTGAAATCAGGTATCAAACAGTGGTGTGTTATTGCCCCAACTTTATTCTTCATATTCATCGCTATGATACTTCATCTTGTTGACGGGAAGCTTCCCACCGGAGTGGAAATAATCTATTGGACAAATGGCAAGCTATTTAACCTCAGCAGACTGAAAGCCAAAACCAAGGTTACAACAACACCTGTTATAGAACTCCAGTATGCTGATGACAACGTCATCTGTGCGCATTCAGAAGAAGACCTACAAGCCACTCTAAACACTTTCGCAGAAGCATACGAGAAGCTCGGCCTGTAATTGAACATCGAAAAAACCAAAGTGCTCTTCCAGCAGTCACCAGCCAATCCCTCTCCAATGCTAGAGATACAGCTTAATGGTGTAACATTAGAAAATGTTGACCATTTCTGCTACCTAGGCAGCCACCTCTCCACCAAAGTCAACAGTGACACCGAAATACAACACTACCTGAGCTCTGCGAGTGTAGCATTTTTCTGAATGAAGCAGAGAGTGTTTGAGGACCGGGACATCTATAGGGATATCAAGCTATTGTCCTCCCAACCCTACTATATGCCTGTGAGACGTGGACTGTCTACAGACGTCACATGCAACTCCTGGAACAATTTCCTCAGTGCTGCCTCCAGAAAACTCTGCAAATTTCTTGGAAAGACAAGCGGACAAATGTCAGCATGCTGGAAGAAGCAATGACCACCAGCATTGAAGCAATGGTCCTCTGCCACCAACTCCGCTGGACCAGCCACGTTGTCCGGATGCCTGACGGAATGTTAGTGGGCAGGAAAAGAGATTTAAAGATGGACTCAAAGCCAACTTTAAAAACCCTGGCATAGACACTGAGAACTGGGAAGCCCTGGTCCTTGAGCGCTCCAGCTGGAGGTCAGCTGTGACCAAGCAGTGATGTAGAATTTGAAGAGGCACGAATGGAGAATGAAAGAGAGAAACGTGCCAAGAGGAAGGCACGTCAAGCCAACCCTGACTGGGACCACCTTCCACCTGGAAACCAATGCCATCACTGCAGGAGAACATGCAGATCAAGAATAGGGCTCCACAGTCACCTACGGACCCCACTGCACACTGCACACTGATCCTGGAAGACCATCCTACTCGGACAACAAGGGATTGCCTAAGAGGGGACTCTTAGAACTGAACCCCAGCACATACTAATGGCCCATTGTATTGTGAATTTTGTGTAAATGCGTTTCTAAAAGTTTTAAAGTACATACTTTTATCTTAGGAATATACACATTTTATGTAGAATACTTCCTTCTGGAGGTGTTTATTAGTGCTCATCTCTCATGTGGCAAAGTGTAAGTGTGTTCCTACACTAGAGACAGATAATCTTGCACAATATTCTAATGGTGTCAGAGACACAGCTTCTGTAATGCTAATACTCTATTCCATTCCACTCCTAGGAAACAGAAAGATCTTTCATGCTTTGAACAGCCAGGTTAGATATACTGTATTAACTATAGTGTAAGAAACTTCTGTTCACATTACTCAGCTAAGTTGTAGCAAAAGATCCAGCACACCCAGCAGTTAACAGCAGCTGGTACTTTAGCAAAGACTTACCACAGAAGTTATTTGAAAATTACAGTATGTCCTTGGTATCCACTGAAGTTTGGTTTGGGGCCCCTCAGTGAATATTCAAATCCTTGGATGTTCAAGTTCCATTATATACAGTGGTGTAGTAAAATTGTGCCTCTTATATAAAATGACAAAATCGAGATTTGATTTTGGGAGTTTTATTTTTGGAATATTTTCAAGCCATAGACGATTGAATCCATGGATTCAGAATCTGTGGATATGGAAGGACAACTGTAATGATGATGGTCTTTCATATTCTTCAGAAATAAAGTATTTTTCTATTTGGCTGTAGACTTAACTAGAGAAACTACACTCTATTTAAAGGTGTGAAGCTCTCATGCAAACATCTAGAATTTCACAGACAGCCACCAGTAACATTTTGATTACACTGGAGGTGGAAAAGAAAGTCCAAATTGATGGAAACTAGTTATTTGCATTGCCTGTGAATCATATGCAAAGTCTGCGGGGCTCGCTCACATGTTGCTGTTGTGAGATTTATGTAATATGGGGAGGAACTGAACATACCTATTTCTTCCAGATCCCTGAAATAAGTGTTGAGTACAGAGGTATATTTTTGGCTATAGTATCCTCTGGAGCACTGTGATTAGTTTTCTATGCAATGTATGTTTTTTAAA